GAGGTTATTCAGGGCGCTCCGCGAGGTGTCAGAGTGTCCGTGGGCGCTCACCCATGACGGCTACAAGAGGGCCTGCGATGTTCCAAGAAGGCCTGCAAGATGGCTCTCAAGATAGCCCATGAGGCCCCAACTGCCGCTCCAAGACGGTTCCAAGTGCTCTCGGACCCCCCCAGGAATCCTCCAAGAGGCCACAATCCTTCAAAAACCTATGGCAACAACTGGTTTGCCTTCTCGCCTTTTCGCTGACAATGCGTTTTTGAAGCTGCAAGACGGCCCCAAGCTGGCCCAACAGAGCCTCAAGAGGGGCCCAAGAGCACCCCCAGACGGCCCCGAGAGCGCTCACGATCGCTCCGAGAGAACCCAAAGAGGGCCCGCAAATGCAAACTTGATGGCTCCAGAGGGGGGGGGACTACAGATCGACGGTCTCCAAGATGCCCCTACAGGGCCTCGAGGGAGCTCCAAGATGCCCCCAAGAGGGCCGCACGGCGCCCCAATAGGGCCCCAACAAGACGGCAAGACTCCCCAAAGAGCCCAGAAGAGTGCTCCAAGAGGCGATATGCATCCTCCTCCTCCTCCTCCTCATCATCATCATCATCAGCATCATCATCATCATCATCATCATCATCACCATCCTCATCATCATCATCATCATTATCATCATCATCATCATCATCATCATCATCATCATCATCATCATCATAATCATCATCATCATCATCATCATCATCATCCTTCTCCTCCTCCTCCTCACCTCGCCCCCCCGCGGGCCCCAGGGATGGCCTGAAGAGGCCCTTTAATGACACCCCCTTGCTCCCAGAGATCTCTCTGTTCACTCTGGTTGCAGGTGTTGTTTCTCTATATGCGTCTGTTCGTCCCGTTTCACGCCAGCTCTCATGGGCAGGGTTTCTGAGCGGGCTGGTGGGGATACTTTTTCGTCGCGGCCGCAGGAGAGCGCGCCAGCAGCGTCAGAGACCGGGCGGGCTACGCGCGAACCTAATTGCCTAGCGCACGGGGACCGAGCTGGTGGGGATACGCGAAGTGTGAAGATTTGCTGAACCCTCCCAAAAGGTTCTCAGTGGCCTCCAGCTCAGCCCGCTGGCCACCCAAGTCTCCAGGTGGCCTCCCAGACGGACAAGATGGCCTCCAAAATGGCCAAGATGGTCTCCAGGACGGCCTCCAAGATAGCCAAGATAACACCTGCCCAACACGTCTCCCGAGAGGCCTCCCAAAGGGTTCAGGAAGCCTGTAAGAGGATCCCCGGGAGGGCCCGACGAGGGCAAACATGATGGTTTGCTTAATAGTTTGAAAAGCTTGTGGCGTTCGCTCCTTCAAGGGACACCGATGACTCAAGTCGCCCAAGAGGCGCCCGAGATTGCCCGAAGAGGGCCCAAAACGCTTCTCAGGTGCCCCCAAGAGGGCTCCAAGACTTCCCAAGATGCCCCCAAGACAGCCCCAAGACACCCAAGACGGCCCAAGAGACCTCCAAGCCACCCAAGATGGCACGGACGGCCAACGATTGCCGTCAAGAGGCCCCGAAGAGGCAGAGGCTCGCAGGAGGCCTCAGGACCCCAAGAGGCTCCTCCTCCTCCTCCTCCTCCACCTCCTCCTCCTCCTCCTCCTCCTCCTCCTCCGTGCTCTCCTTTTCCTGCAAAACACTCCTCCTCCTCCTCCTCCTCCTCCCCCTCCTCCCCCTCCTCCCCCTTCTCCTCCTCTCCCTCTTCGTCCATCAAGTGCTCTCCTAAGCAAGCGAGCGAGCGAGCGAGGCGCCGGTGCAGGCTCATGCGGCGAAGCGGTTGGGCCTGCGCCCGCTTGGGCAAGGCGCGGGATACCGTAGCCCCTGAGAACCACGAATGAGAAGGCGAAAACCCACCACCCCCAGTCCCGATCCCATCCTCGACCCCGCGATTCAAGGAGTCGGGAATTGGGGGTGGGGGTGGGTTGTTCGGGGTCCAGGAATGGAGAACCCCCCCCACCCCAAGTCCCGACCCCTTGAATCGCTGGCTCGGGGATGCGCGTCGGGACTGGGGCTGGGGGTGGGTTTTCGCCTTCTGAACTAAGACATCTGATGCGGCCAAACGCCGACACTCACAAAAAGCGATGAAGGGGGGATGATCTCTGGTAGTCTTTGTGGCACCGGATGTACAACAGTGCGGAGCGTCGTGACAACTTGCTGTTTTACTCGGTCGCGCCCTCGGAATTTCAATTTGTCGGCGCATGTAGACTGGAGAACACGCAAGGGTAATACTCAACAATGCGGAATGATACGCCAGATGTGCGCAATCGGCCGTAGGCATGAGAGCCACGGTGATCAATTGACGGCTGGTCGGCCGCAACCTCCAGAACAATACCGAGCGGGGAGCACTCGCGAATGTCACCATAGGCGACGAAGTTGTTTACACCTTGCCACTGGAGCGTTGCCATCAAACGCTTTATTGTGCGGTTCCACCAGTGCGCTGACATACAAATACTTTTGCCAGTGTAAAACGATCGGACCTACCATGATGCCTACACTCTTCCCGCCACAACGCGTACCGCGAGCAAGTTTGACTACACGTCGTTCATTTCTAGTCGTGCTCAGTGCTAATCGTGCTCGCTTCTGATCGCTCCTGGCCCCCTAGTGGCCAGGAAGAGGCCCAGGATAGAACAATTAGAAATGAAAGGATCTTGGCCCCCAACAAAAAATCAAAGAACTTTCGAATACTTGGAAATTAACCACGTGTAAGTCTTGAGGTCGACAACGAGCACTCAAACTTCGTCTGACGGGTCGACGTGCCGGCCCGGTCAAGATCGTCATGTGACGCAGTGTGGAGTGCTATCTGCCCACCGTCAGCAGTGTGATTCGCCGCGCGCTCGAAAGATTACGAGCACGGTCAGCCGTATACGATGCTGTTTTTCCTCAGCCAGTTCTTTCCCCGCAAGGTCTCCACAACGGCTGGGGGGGGGGGGCATACACTCCAACGGCTTGGCAAACCTCTGGCCCAACGTCTGGCCACGTTGGCATGTTCGATGGGCAGGTTGGGGGATGTTGGGGGATGGTGGTTCGCCGTAGGCGTCTTCGATAGTTGCGACACGCACTAACTCATTTTGCTGTCTGAGTCGAAGCCCTGACGATTGGTTCCTCTAGTGTCCACGTGGACTTGGGCTTTTGACACCGCGTACCCAAACTTCAACGATCGTGGCTGTCCGATATCGCGGATCGTTCGATGTCGGCCGATGTCCTGCTACTGGCGGCGTTCAACCTTGAACGCCCGCCATGGGGTCGCCGCCGCGTCGACGCGGTGCGAACCTGCCATAGCCCCACGCTCTGACAAGCTACATATTAAAAACGAAGACTGGTGCAGCGCCGATCAGCGAGTCAGCAGGTCATCGCGACGAGACTTTTAGAGAACATATCCTCGCAAGCCCCGACCTCCAGCAAGCAAAAGCAAGCGGACAAGTATGGCGCCTAGACGGCGCATCCGCAACAGGGAACATCTGCAGCTCATATACACAATTTCCACAATCGTCAGGGCAAAAGGCACGTGGATGCTGGAAGCCCACTGCTGTCTGGGCCTCCCGCAGGATTTGCTCTCGTCCCAAACTCGAGGTGCACTTGAACAAGACTCGCTGGGAGTCCATCAGAAGGGCCTCGATTGTATCGCAAAGCGAACACCGCCACAGAGGGCACAATTCAAAACGCCGTCAAATCCGATGCATCGCAAATACGCCTGCCCCCACGAGCCACATCGGGACCCCTCTCCATCACCGTCCAGGCCCACCCACCCACCCGTTGCGCACGTCTCGCCGTCACGGCAAACAGCTGTTTTCTCTCGGAAAAAACTCGTTCCGCGCGGCCCCAACCCTCAGCTGGGCAATCCCCTTGGAGAGAAAAAGAAATAAGACTTACACAGGTCCGCACCTTCCTCCTCCTTCCTCCCTCTTCACAAGGTGGACGGGGAAGAACGAGGTGGATCTGTAATACGCAATGGGAACGGGTCGGGAGAAGAAAGCAACTGAAGACAAGGGGAAGGGGGAATAGACGGATAATGAGAACGAAACTGGAGGAACAAACAGAAGCGTCAACGTTCGAGGGGGTCCGCGTGCAATTCGTTCTTGGACCGGCGATGGACTCCTCTGGCGGCGTGTCCAGTGCCGTGGTGCCTAGCGCACATACAAGACACCCGCGCAGATCTCCGGACGTCGATGATTCTGCTCCATTTGTCTTCTTCTAGAAACGGAGGGGAAGGCAACGGGAAAGGAGGAAGAGGATCGGACGGAGCGTGCCGAGTATGAGGTCATCACGCCTCGTGGGCGGCCAGGTCGGCAGGACAGGGGCCTCGATGCGATCGAATAGTCGACGCGCGTCTAGTCCTGAACAGCAGAGTATGAGGAGGGCTCTCGCTAGACGCGCATACCGGCTACAGCGCGAGCAGATCATAACGATGCAGGGTCAGAATGCAAGGCCCTTGGGCACCCGAACTGAATCCGAGGGTGGAAGCCCGCGGCCCACGGCTAAGGGCTGGGATGGGCCGAGAAACAAAGATGCAAGGGAAGAGGCAACCCATCCTCAAGATGCGGCTTGGCTGTGGCGTCAGATTCCAGTCGGTGCGCCTGCAATAACCAGACGCTTCGTCTCCTGGACTCTCCACGCCCAGGAAAGCAGGGAGCAAGGCGTAAGCGGTCCCGCCCTTCGAATAAAATGGCACGGGGAGAAGAGATGCCCTTCAGAGAGGTGGACAGTTAATACATAGTGATTCGCAGAGTACTGCATGGGCTAGTTGCAGGAGGTGTTTGTGACGCATCGTCTGAAACTTGTCCCAAGGATCACGCCTTTTGCATGGTCCGAGGACCGTTGAACACATAACTTGAGCTTCGGGTGACCACCCAAATCATGCTGACACCCGATAACCAAATCAGATGTGGAAGGGCCACCATCTGCTCTATATGATTCGGTGAGGTTAGGCAGGCATCGGATCTAATCCTTCATTACCCTCATCCCTCCCCTGAGTGGCCCGCGGGTCCTGTCGTAGGGATCGGAGAAGTACTTCCTCGCGTCATGCCGACCCGGACCGGCTTGGATACGGCTAACGATTGAGATGACAGAATCGAGTCTCCACGTCGACAAGCAAAAACAAATCCTCCCTGTGCATTTCGCCCTGCCCCTCAGGCTATCTGTCACCATCCCCCTCGCCCATCCGACCCTGTCGTACACCGTACACAGCTCTGGGGATGACGGGGCGTCTGCCCCAGAGATGCTGGAAACTTCGCCCATGAATCAAGCAGCAGCAGAGTCGTGGTGCTGGGGGGAGGAGGAGGAGGAGGAGGAGGAGGAGGAGGAGGAGGAGGAGGAGGAGGAGGAGGAGGAGGAGAGGAGGAGGAGGAGGAGGAGGAGAGTGCTTGGTTTTCCCGGCGGGCCGTACTAGTACGCCAGAGTACGCCTACTAGTACGACCCGCGGGTCGTACTAGTACGCCGAAGTACGCCTACTAGTACGACCCGCGGCGCCCGGGAGGCGTACTCGTAGAGCAGAAGTACGCCTACTAGTACGACCCGGCGGGTCGTACTAGTACGCCGAAGTACGCCTACTAGTACGACCCGCGGCGCCTGGGAGGCGTACTCGTAGGGCCGAAGTACGCCTACTAGTACGACCCGCGGCACCGGGGAGGCGTACTCGTAGAGCAGAAGTACGCCTACTAGTTCGCCCCGCTGGGTCGTACTAGTACGCCGAAGTACGCCCACTAGTACGACCCGCGGGGCGAAGGAGGCGTACTCCTAGGGCCGAAGTACGCCTACTAGTACGACCCGTCGGGTCCTACTAGTACGCCGAAGTACGCCTTCTAGTACGACCCGCGGGGCGAAGGAGGCGTACTCGTTGGTCCGAAGTACGCCTACTAGTTCGCCCCGCTGGGTCGTACTAGTACGCCGAAGTACGCCCACTAGTACGACCCGCGGGGCCTGGGAGGCGTACTCCTAGGGCCGAAGTACGCCTACTAGTACGACCCGCGGCGCCCGGGAGGCGTACTCGTAGAGCAGAAGTACGCCTACTAGTACGACCTGGCGGGTCGTACTAGTACGCCGAAGTACGCCTACTAGTACGACCCGCGGCGCCCGGGAGGCGTACTCGTTGGTCCGAAGTACGCCTACTAGTTCGCCCCGCTGGGTCGTACTAGTACGCCGAAGTACGCCCACTAGTACGACCCGCGGGGCCTGGGAGGCGTACTCCTAGGGCCGAAGTACGCCTACTAGTACGACCCGGCGGGTCCTACTAGTAGGCCAGAGTACGCCTACTAGTACGACCCGCGGCGCTCGGGAGGTTTACTCGTTGGTCCGAAGTACGCCTACTAGTTCGCCCCGCTGGGTCGTACTAGTACGCCGAAGTACGCCCACCAGTACGACCCGCGGGGCGAAGGAGGCGAACTTGTGAGTATGTCTCAGGGGGGGCTCTCTCCGCAATTCGTACTAGTAGGCCAAAGTAGCCCTACTAGTACGCCTCCGCCAACCCCCCAGGACCGTACTGGTAGGCCAAAGTAGCTCTACTAGTAGCCCCGCCGGCCATCCCCCCGGGTCCGTACTAGTAGGGCTACTTCGGCCCTACTAGTAGCACCGCCGGGGCGGATTTTCGAGGATGTCTCGAGCGAGGGCCCCCTCCTCTGGTTGTACTAGTAGGCAAAAGTAGCCCTACTAGTACGCCCCGGTGGGGCGGACTTTCGAGGATGTCTCGAGCGAGGGCCCCCTCCGCCGGTCGTACTAGTAGGCCAAAGTAGCCCTACTAGCACGCCCCCGCCAGACCCCTCTGGACCGTACTAGTAAGCCAAAGTAGCCCTACTCGTAGCCTCGCCAGAGCAGACTTTCGAAGATGTCTCGAGCGGGGGCCCTCTCCGCCGGTCGTACTAGTAGGCCAAAGTAGCCCTACCAGTACGCCCCCGCCAGCCCCCCGGGGCCCGTACTAGTATAGGCGAAAGTAGCTCTACTAGTAGCCCTGCCTGGGCGGACTTTCGAAGATGTCTCGAGCGGGGGCGCCCTCCGCCGGTCGTACGATTGGAAAAAGTAGCCCTACTAGTACGCCCCGGTCATCCTCCCGGGTCCGTACTAGTAGGGCAACCTCGGCCCTACTAGTAGCCCCGGCGGGGCGGACTTTCCAGAATGTCTCGAGCGGGAGCGCCCTCCGCCGGTCGTACTAGTAGGCCAAAGTAGCCCTACGAATACGCCCCCGTCAAGCTCCGGGGGGCCGTACTAGTAGGCCAAAGAAGCCCTACTAGTAGCCCCGCCGGGACGAACTTTCGAGGATGTCCCAAGCGGGAGCCCCCTCCGCTGGTCGTACTAGTAGGCCAAAGTAGCCCTATTAGTACGCACTCGCCATCCCTTCAGGCCCGTACTATTAGGCCCAAAGAACCCGACTAGTAGCCCCCGCTTGGGCGGACTTTCGAGGATGTATCAAGCAGGGGCGCTCTCCGCAGGTCGTGCTAGTAGGCCAAAGTAGCCCTACTACTACGCCCCATGCATCCCCCCAGATCCGTACTAGTAGGGCCACTTCGTCCCTATTAGCAGCCCCGGCGGAGCGGACTTCCGAGAATGTCTCGAGCGGGAGCGCCTTCCGCCGGTCGTACTAGTAGGCCAAAGTAGCCCTACTAGTACGCCCCCGCCAGCCCCCCTGGGCCGTACGAGTACACCAAAGTAGCCTTACTAATAGCTCCGCCGGGGCAGAGTTCCGATAATGTCTCGAGCGGAGGCCGCCTCCGCCGACCGTACCAGTAGTAGGCTCAAGTAGCTCTACTAGAATGCTCCGGCCTAAACCCTCCAACCCCTTCCCTCTGCCCCCTCCCCCCTCTCTATCTCTTTCTTTCTCTCTCTCTCTCTCTGTCTCTTTCTCTCTGTATTCCTCGCTTTTCCCTCTCTCCCTCCCCCCGACCCCCCCCCTTCCCCCTCCTCCCTCCTTCCCACTTCCTCGTCGCCGGCGCTGCCGCCGTCGCCGTCGTCGTCGTCGCCGTCACGCAGCCCCAAGCCGACCCCGCGGAAGCCCCAATAACCACAATTAAGGCTAATCGTGATAAGAGGACTTCACCTACGATTCGCACATCGCTCGGCGATGATAAAGTTCAGTCTCGCCGCCCCCTCCGCCGACCAAACGTATCTTTCCAGAAGTATCCAACGCGGCGGAGTTTAGGATCCCGAACGTACTCTCATTATCCGGTACACAACGGTACTCACACCAGCTACCTCACCAGAGCGACTCTCGAGAGCGCTTCCATCAAAACCCCAGAGAAACATTTTCTCACGGAGAACGATTGCAAAGTCATTCCCTGAAGCCTTCCACTCTCCACCCTGGCACAGCGTAAACACAGTACCACCACAATCTCACACAATGAAACAGGAGCACCCTCAAACAACCAGGCACCTGACACGCGTGAACCCCACCCATGAGACCTTTTCCCGCTCTTCACTGCGAATACCAAACCCGAAACCGCAACCCCCATGGGCCCATGCCCGCTGCATCTCACACGACCGATAGCTCACCCGACTCAGAGTCGGAGTCTACAACGGTCGGAGCCACATCGCGGTCGGCACCCACCTCGTCTGGCACGATTGACGGCGCGCCCACCTCGCATGCCGACTCTACTCCTGGATAGAAAGTATCCGGATCCATGCCCTCCGCGCCGGACTGGAAGGGCGCCGCGCCCGCGCGCGCGCCATGACACCCGGTGCCGAACCCTCCCGCGCCCGCGAAAGGCAACGAGAACCTCAGCGGTGACTCTGTGAACCAGCTCTCGTTGGCGGCACGGTGCCCATCGCGGTCGGCACCCACCTCGTCTGGCACGATTAACGGCGCGCCCACCTCGCATGCCAACTCTACTCCTGTATAGACAGTATCTGGATCCATGCCCTCCGCGCCGGACTGGATGGCGCCACGCCCACGCAACATGAGGTGTCACCGACTCAGCCGCTGACTGCTGGGCAGCGGGTTACCCCTGCCCCCGATTCGGATTCGGCCGAGGATGGGTTACCACCCCCAGCCCGGACGCAAAGATTACCCCTGCGCCCGATTCGGCCGCCGATGGGTTACCACCGGCGGCCCGGAGGCAAGGGGTTACCCCTGCCTCCGATTCGGCCGAGGATGGGTTACCACCCCTGGCCCGGACGCAAGGGTTCCCCCCTGCGCCCGATTCGGCTGACGATGGGTTACCACCGGCGGCCCGGAGACAAGGGGTTACCCCTGCCCCCGATTCGGCCGAGGATGGGTTACCACCCCCAGCCCGGACGCAAAGGATTACCCCTGCGCCCGATTCGGCCGCCGATGGGTTACCACCGGCGGCCCGGAGGCAAGGGGTTACCCCTGCCTCCGATTCGGCCGAGGATGGGTTAACACCCCTGGCCCGGACGCAAGGGTTCCCCCCTGCGCCCGATTCGGCTGACGATGGGTTACCACCGGCGGCCCGGAGACAAGGGGTTACCCCTGCCCCCGATTCGGCCGAGGATGGGTTACCACCCCCAGCCCGGACACAAGAGGTTACCCCTGCGCCCGTCCGCTGTCTCGTCGTCGTCGTCGTCGTCGTCGTCGTCGTCGTCGTCGTCGTCGTCGTCAGCTCCTCAGTCACCCTGTCGGGCACGCAGGCCCGTGGCGGTAACAAATGTGCTGAAGACCAGCTCAGACGCGGCTAGGTCCAAGTCGTTCACAGACAGGACTCCCGGGCCGTATAGGGAGGGGAGGGGTTATGCAGAGGGACTCCCGCGTCAGACTTCCTCGCAAGACTCTCGAGTTACGCACGCACGAAGCTCCCAGCTCATTCCTTCCCCATGTCCACGATTGAAGAGGCCACAAGGGGACCGGGGACCGAGGACCAGACCGGGGGCCGGTCAAAGAAATTCCGCCATTGTGAAGCGGGTGCGGAGGCCTCCAATATGCCGAAAATCCTCCAAATGGCCGACGTACGCGTGCTAGTACGAGTGGAGCGGGCGTACAGGTTCGGCTACGTAGGCGCACTAATACGACAGCAAAGTGCACGGACGGGCGTACGAGTACGGCTACGTGAGCCTACCAATACGGCGGCGGTGCGCGGCTCGGGCGTACGAGTACGGCTACGTACGGCGAAAAGTACGACTGCGACGTGCACGCCCGAGCGTACGAGTACGGCTACGTACCGGTACGAGTACGACTGGAGCGGGCGTACGACTTCGGCGACGTAGGCCTACTAGTACGGCAGCAGGGTGCAAGAACGGCCGTACTAGTACAGCTACGTACGCCTACTAATACGACGGCGGTGTGCCGGGTCGGGCGTACGAGTACGGCTACGTACGGTTACGAGTACGACTGCGACGTGCCCTGCCGAGCGTACGAGTAGGGCCAGGTACGCGTACTAGTACGACCGGAGCGGGCGTACTAGTACGGCTACGTAGGCCTACTAGTACGACGGCGGAGTGCAGGGACGGTCGTACTAGTGCGGCTACGTAGGCCTACTAGTACGACGGCGGAGTGCAGGGACGGTCGTACTAGTGCGGCTACGTAGGCCTACTAGTACGACGGCTATGTGCGGGGCGGGGCGTACGAGTACGGCTACGTACGGCTACTAGTACGACTGCGGCGTGCACGGCCGAGCGTACGAGTACGGCTACGTACGGCTACTAGTACGACTGCGGCGTGCACGGCCGAGCGTACGAGTACAGCTACGTACGGCTACTAGTACGCCCCGCGGTCGTACTAGTAGGAGGAAGTAGGCCTACTAGTACGACGACCGGGCTAAGCAAGCCTATTCTGGGAGGAGGAGGAGGCGGAGGCGGTACTCCAGCCCGACTCCGCTTGGGGAGTACACCGCCTGGAGACGGAGCCGGACGGGCAGGGGAGCGCGAATTCGCTGTTGCCCACTGCTCGACGAAAACTCGTCGCGACCCAACGTGAGGGTCTCGAGTGGCAGCGCAGCTCTCCCTTGAGGAGGAGGATGAGGACGAGGAGGAGAAGGAGGAGGAGGAGGAGGTCCCCCTCCCTCTGGCATTCACAAGCAGTGCCCGCTCTAAGGAATGAGCCAAAGCAGGTAGACTCCCCCCTTCCAGACCCCCTCGGTATGCTGCGCCAGAGTGAGCTTTTTCGTCCGCTCTGCCCCGTGACTTGCTAGTTCACGGGCTCCAAGAGCCAAGACCCAAAGTGAAGAGGGGTGGGAGGCGGGGCGCTTGTCCGCAGAATGCGTCGGGAAGCGCCCGCCGAAAAACGTTCCGAGCGAAGGCAAGGGCGAAGGCCGATGGGCCGTCCAATGTTTTAGCAGTCGCTACGCCGCCTAGAGCCCTCTGCCTGGGGGTGGGGTGCGGTAGGGCCCGATCGCCTGATGGCGACGGCAGGCCCTCGAAGCGAAGTGGCTGGTTACGCGGTGATCTTTGCCAGATCCCGAATGCGACACCGTGGCAGTGCGATGGGCCAGTGCAGCCGACGCAGCTGGGATCCGAGGCTGGTTCAGGGCAGCTCAAGTCCTCGCCCTCATCCTCCTCCTCCTCTTCTTCTTCTTCTGCTTCCACCCCGTCCCACCTTCTTCCCCTCCTCCTCCTCTTCCGCCTCCTCCTCCTCCTCCTTCTTCCCCTCCTTCTCCCTGTCGCACCCCGAGGCCAATGTTTGGGGCGGGCCGGGCGTTTCGCCTGAGACTTCCTCACCATTTATGACTCTGAAGCCAAAAAATCGCAAAGGTTTCACGGATGGAGGGCGGGTGGTTTCCAAAATGTGGCTCTTGCCATAGCGCCGCGCACACTCGCTTTAAACATGTGCAAGAGCTTCACGGATTGAGGGCGGGTGGTTTTCAAAATGTGGCTCTCGCCTTAGCGCCGCGCACACTCGCTTTAAACGATTGCCAAAGCTTCACGGATTGAGAGCGGGTCGTTTTCAAAATGTGGCTCTCGCCTTAGCACCGCACATACTCGCTTTAAACATTTGCAAGAACTTCTCGGATTGAGGGCGGGTGGTTTTCAAAATGTGGCTCTTGCCTAATCGCCGCGCACATTTGTTTCAAAGATCTGCAAGAGCTTCACGGGTTGAGGGCGGCTCCTTTTCAAAATGTGGCGGTCGCCTTAGCGCCGCGCATATTCGTTTTTTTCCCAAATTGCAATAGTTTCACGGGTTCCCATGATCAACGTACCAGAAATGGTGTTTTGGAAGGATTCAGGATTATGCGGGCGCAACAGTTATGTTGATTCGCGGTGTTGCGGTCCCCAAAATAGCGTTCTGCCACGATTCCAAATCGTCAGGACGCAGCAGTCAGGTTGATTTGTGGCGTGGACATTCCGAGGAAAATGCTTTGGCATGCTTCAGGGTCTTCAAATGGTTGTCTTCTAATGGGGAAGTTCCCTCAATGGAAATGAAACGTTGGAGAGGCCTATGAAGAGGGAGCTTGGAGGGAGGGTTACTTCCAACATCGTTGATGACTCTTGGGTTTACACTGGTCGTCCTCCTCCTCGCCCTGCTAAATCCACCTCCCTTCCACCACCCGCAACTCCGCCTCCTCCTCGTCCTCCTCCTCCTGCTCCTCCTCCTCCTCCTCCTCCTTATCCTCCTCCACCTCCCCTCCTCCTCCTCTTCATGCCCAGTTCCATTTCCTTATAGCTCTCCCCTGTCGCATCCCCAGACGTGTCGGTAAGGCCGGTGGGGCGTTTCGCCTGACATCCCCTGAACGGCTATGATCCTGAAGCCTGGAATGTGAACGAGGTGAAAGGATAAGGGCTCTCGCCCTTGCCCTCCCCCCGCGCACGATCACCATAAAATAGTGTAGCTGTTTTTTTCAGAGATGGACAAAGGAGGCGTTTTCAGAATGGAGCTTTCCCCATGGTGCCGGTTGCATTCGTCAAGTTTGCGACAGTTGTATGGTGGAAGAGGGTAAAATCTAAAAATTGCGCAATCGCGCGCAGCGCACATTCGTCTCAAACGGTGCAACTGTTGCAGAGGTGGAAGGAAATGGGCGCCGTTTTGAAAATGGAGCTATTGCCGTAGCGCCGCGCACAGTCATCTTACATTTTGCAGCACTTACAAGGATGGCAGGGCGCCGTCTTCAAGATGGAGCTCTCGCCTCAGCGCCGCGCACATTCGTCCTAGAAGCTGGCAGCGATTACAAGGGCGGCTCCTTTGCAAAACGGGGCTCTCGCTCGAGACCCCCTGGGACCTTGACCAGAAAACCGAACACGTGCAACAGCTGCGCGGACGGATTCAGGTTCCTCTTCAAAATGGGTCTCTCGATCTCGACTTAGGTGGGCTGCATCACCATAAGTGTAGCCAAGTGCAACGGTTATGGGGCAGTATCTGAGCATTCTCTTCTCTTAGGGTGGAGGGCTCAGGGTGAAATCCATATGGGCTTTCGCACCCCAGACATCAATCAGTCTTGTGATTCACCTTTTGCAGATTCAAACCTCGAAAACCAACCGACACGGCATTTCAGATTTCACTCTTTGCCCTCCACCAAAAGAAAATGCTCGGAATCTGTTTCAACTCGGGGGTCTCCCTGGACACCTCGCTGAACTGTATGATCCTACCTGTCTGCATCTCCTGTTCTTCGATGGAGGTGCGCAAGGCAGTTCCTGATAACAGCGAAGCTCCTCGGCACTGCTTGGCATCGGAGGGGGTACTCTGGTCCTCCTCCTCCTCCTCCTCATCGTCATCCTCCTCCTCATTATCATCATCACTTTCATCATCGTCATCATCATCCGCATCATCATCATCATCATCGTCATCATCATCGTCATCATCAGCATCATCATCATCATCGTCATCATCATCAGCAGCATCGTCATCATCACCATCGTCATCGTCATCGTCATCGTCATCATCATCGTCATCGTCATCGTCATCGTCATCATCATCATCATCATCATCATCATCATCATCATCATCATCATCATCATCATCATCATCATCGTCATCATCATCATCCCCCTGCTCCTCGGTCCTCGTTCCCACTGCCGTGTCTGGCCGGCTGGGCTCCCCAAGGGCTCCTGGAAGCCGACGGCAGCCTAGCGTTGACCGTCGCAGACAAGTCCAGTGCGCCGTCCCAAGCGGGTCGAACGACATCCATCCTGTTGATGCTGGCCTCGGGTGAGTGTACAGCCAAAGTCTTGCCAGAAGTGACCTTGGATGAGGAACGAAGCCCCTTTAGGAGCATCAAGTGTGCCCAAATGCACGAGAAACGCGAGGGGAAGACGGGAAGACCCATGGAAGGGCGAAGGAACATCGATAGCCTTCCAAAACTTACGCGGATGTCATCTGGAAGTTTTGACTGTACACAGGCATGCGGGGCAAGCACCCTCCCATGTTGGCCTATCGCGGGCCCTCGGGGTAATGCGCACCGCCCCATGGACGTCCACTGAGACACTAACATAGAAAGCTGGCAAAACCGATGGCGAGACCAGAACTAAGCAAAGGCGATATGGGCCCAAAGCAGCCTAGAAGGACGCGGCGGCGCAGCAACCGACCGAACCGAACCGACCGAATGCAGCCGACTGCGAAGTACGCAAATCGACCGAACCGCGGACACTGTTGACCAGAGTGCCGAAATACAGTTATATCACCTCGAAGAGAAAATGGTGTGCTGAGGCACCGCGGTGCCTACGGCGATCGAAAAACACCTACGCAATCGCGAAAGCCTCTTTCAGACGGCCGCACGAGACAGATCTGTGCCTCGGGTAAGGGGGAATCTCGGGGATTTCAGCCACGGCAGCGACGAAGAATGACGCATTAAGTATCCCTTCAAAGTAGGCATTATATTACGCTTTTCCATTGCACAGAATCTGCAATCAAATGGCTGCTTCGCTATTTTATGCGTCCGCCAACACATCCCTGTTGTTGTCCCCAAACTAAGAGAAAGCTTCCTGCTGCATGGGCACATTGCTTGGCGTTGATTCGCACTGCTCGGCGTTGCTTGATGTTGCTTAGCAGTGCTAAGCATTGCTCTGCCATTGCTTGGCGTTGTGAGGCGCTGTTTGGCATTGCTTGGAGGTGATTGGCAATGCTTGGAATTGCGTGACATTACTGCTCATGGTCTGGCACTGCTTTGTATTGCTTAGCGTTGTTTGGTATTGCTTGGCATTGATTTGCAATGGCAGGGAACCCGAGGAAGGAGACGGGGGAACCCGAGGAATCCAAGCAAACAACAAGACTAGGGAACTCAGGGAACCCGAGGAAGACCGGGGAGCCTGATCAACCCAAACAATGAACAAGACCAGGGAATCCGGAATCCGAGGAGAAAGACTGGGGAACCCGAGGATGGAATGTGAGGAACAAGACCGGGGAGCCGAAGGCCGTGGTCAGAAAACAAGACGGGGATACCCCCTCTGTAAGGAAACAAGACCGAGGAACCCCGAGGAACGCGGGGACCAACCGCATCGGGCACCCAGCCACAGGTAGGGGCCCCTGATGCAAAGCCGAACTGGGGACGAGCATCGTGCGGAGTGCTTTTCATCAGATTCGGCGTCTGGGGGGCCCTTTTCAAGCCCGACGACCACCATCAACAACCAATCGTGAAAGACAACGAACGCGGCGAGACACCAATTAGGGGAACGCTTCCCGAGCGGCATTGTTTGACGTTGCTTGACGTTGCTTGGCGTTGAATTGCGCTGCTGTTTCTCAGTATTCCATTGTGTTGCGTCGCTTGGTGTTGCTGGGCATTGCTTGGTATTACATTGCCGCGCTTGGTATTTCGTTGCTTTGCGTTACTTGGCGTTGCCTGGCGTTGGTTTGTTTGGTGCTGCCTGGCGCTGCCTGGCGCTGCTTGGCATTGCTTGGCAGTGCTTGGCACTGCTTGGCACTGGTTGGCATTTCACTGCGTTGCTTGGCATCGCTTGGCTTTCCTTGGCACTGCTTGGCATTACCTGGCATTGCGTGCCACTGGTAGGCAGCGTGTGGCCTCGCATTGACTTTCTACGTATTGTTTCAACACAAAAGGGAACGAGACCAACAAATCAGGGGACCGGGGGAGACTCTGCAGACTCTGCCTGATAGCGTAGCGGTATTAGGGGGCCACATGCGAACCCCACCCCTGCCCCCCACGATTTCTGGGGGGCGGGTGGGGCTCGCATGTGGCCCCCTAGATATGGATCCACCTCCGCCACAACCCAGGATCGGCTGCCTCAGAACGAGAGGTCAAGGAATCCGGGCAAGGCCTGGTAACGAAACAAAGCCAACGAACCCCAGGGAACCCGTCTGCAAGGAAACAAAACCGGGAAACCCCGAGGAACCACGGCGCGATCGCGTCGGTACCCACTGGATTCTTCCAAGTGAGAACTGCAAGGCAAATCTTAATTTTGAAAAAGCACCCAAATCGGACCCCGCGAGGGGTCTAGAGACCAATTTCGAGCAGATCTTAGTCGGCACCCACGGAGGGGAAGGAGGTGTTCTGAGTTCAGCTCAACCTGCGAGTCCCTGAGCGCGTTCGTAAACCTGGGGATGGATGGAACTACATATTGCGCTTGCACCCTCTACTTCGCAACTCCGTTCGGAACACCGCGCGCTCAAAATTAATGGCAGATGGCCGCCGTGCATGGAAGTCTCTGCAAGCCAAACGGGCGCGACGCCCGCTTGCGACCGCTCCCTCTGGGGCCTTCGGCGGAGCTCCCCCTGTAGGGCCACGAAGCTTTCGAGAAGCGTCCCGAAACGGGAGTGACGCCCACATGCGAACGCTCCCTCTGGAGCTTTCGGTAGAGCTCCCTATGGGGGCACGATCCTCGTGAAAGGTGTGCCGACACGGGCGCGACCCCCACATGCGACCGCTCCCTCTGGGGCCTTCGGCGGAGCTCCCCTGTGGAGCCACGAAACGTGTGGCCCCCTTTTATGGTCCCACGCAACGTGTAAGGGGTGTGCCGAAACGGGCACATAACATGCGAACGCTCCCTCTGGGGCTTTCGGTGGAACTCCCTATGGGGCTACGAAGCGTTTGAGGGCGCGCCGGCATGGGACGGGGAGACGCACGCGGACGCTCCCACTGGGGCCTTCGGTGGAGCCCCCCATGAGGACACGAAACGTGTGAGTGATGAGCCGAAATTAAAGCGTGGCGACGCATGTGGACCCTCCAACTAGGGCCTTCGGTGGAGCTCACTACAGGGTGTGCCGAAATGGGAAGGAGGTAGACGCATGTGAACCCTCCCACTGGGGCCTTCGGGAGAGTCCCCTTATGAGGGCATGACACGTGTTAGGGGTGTGCATAAATGGGGTGGAGAGACGCATGTGGATCGTCCCACTGGGGCCTTCCTTCGATGGAGCTGTCTATGGGGCCATAAGATATTTGAGGGGCGCGCCTAAATGAGGTGGGGAACGCATATGGACCCTCCCTCGAGGGACATCGGTGGAGCTCACAGGGGCCACGAAACGTGTGAGGGTGTGCCGAAATGATGCCGACATGATTGTGCGGAGGGCAGAGACAGGGAGGGGAGGAGGGAAGGCGAGGCGAGGCGAGGGTATCTCGGAGTGCAGGCGTTCTCGCCCAGCGTCTCTTAGTCTCTCGTCCTCGGTCCTCCTCCCCGCAGGATGCAGAGAGGAATATGGCTCGCGAATTAAAGAGGGGCTCAGGGAACCCTCCTTCTTGTGCAGGCCCGCTCGCACGCGCCATTGGCATCACAGTGCCAAAGGTGCCGCACCCCCTGGTTGCATCGGAGAGCTACCGATTGCTGATACGGGGCTCCCTGCGAACGGGCCGCACGCTAGCCTGTGGTGGAGGCGGGGGAGGGGGTGGTGGGAAGGCCGCGTGATCCGCACCTGCGCAGGCCCTAGCAATGGCTTCGATACGATGTCGAAGGGCTGTCGGGTCCTTGCTGCATACTACTCACGCAGGAGGAGGAGGGAGGGAGGAGGGGGAAGGAGTAGAGAATACTTAGGACGCAGGGCGCTGACAGAACGAGGACCCAAGACCACAGGATGGTTGGGACAACTACCTGGGCGAAAGACCCAACCATATGCAGTGGTTGCGAATACCGCAGGGCAGGCGGGACGATTAAGGGGGAACCCCCTATGGGGCAACGAACCGCGTGAGACGGGCGAACCGCGTGACGGGTGTGCCAACATGGGGCGGGTACCGCATGCGGGCTGCTGGGGAGATCCATACGATGACTGCCGCTGCGAGCTTCGGTGAAGCTCCTTGTGGGGCCACGAAGCGTGGCAGGGGCGTGGCGAGGTGGGCGAGAAGGGCGGCCGCAAAGACCTTCGGTGGAGCTCTCCGTGGGGCCGCACGTGTGAGGGGTGTGCTGAAACGGGCAGGTCGGACGCATGCGGGCGGCGCCCCTGGGACCTTCGGTGAAGCCCCTATGGTGCCACGATCCTCGGAAGGGGTGTGCCGAAATCAGTGGGTCGGACGCATGCGGCCAACGCCCTTGGGACCTTCGGTGGCGTTCCCTATGGGGCCACGGTCCTCGTGGAGGGTGTGCCGAAGTGGGCGGGCCAGACGCATGTTACCGACGCCCTAGGACCTTCGGTGGAGCTCCCTGCGGGGCCACGATCGTGAGGGGAGTGCTGAAATTAGTGGTTGGATGCATGCGGGCGGCGCCCCTGTGATCTTCGGCGGAACCCCTATGTGGGGCCACGAAACGTGTGAGGAGTGTGCCGAAGCTGATGGCGATGATGGCGATGACAACGGCATGATGATGATGATGATGTTGATGATGATGATGATGGTGATGATGGTGGTTAATGATGGTGGTGATGGTGATGGTGATGATGGTGATGATGATGGTGATGGCGATGATGACGATAACGATGACGGTAATGGTGGTAGTGATGGTGATGGTGATGATGGGGATGATGATGATGATGATGATGATGATGGTGATTGTGATGGTGATGGTGATGACGATGGTGATGAGGATGAGGATGATGACGGTGACGATGACGGTGATGGTGATGGTGATGGTGATGATGGGGATGATGTTGATAATGGTGATGGTGATGGTGATGGCGATGGTGATGGTGACGGTGGTGATGCCGATGATGATGCTGGTGAAGATGATGGTGGTAGTGATGGCGATGATGATGATGCGGATGGTGATGATGATGATGATGGTGGTGGTGGTGATGGTGATGGTGATGGTGATATTGACGACGGTGATG